ATTTTTGAATATTTTTATCATTAACTTCTGGGGGGTGGGTGAAGCCGCAGCCCCTCCACCCTTTGGGTGCGTCACTGGTCAAAGATAACCTAATACACTGCGGGTTGTACAGACCGGGCGAGCAATCAGTTGCAAGGTCAAGGTAGAGATCAAAGGCGAGCGACTGGCTGCAGGTCGTCAATCGGCGCCGGCACGTGAATGGAACCGTCAACGCGCCGGGAAAAATGCACCGTGCGCCCGACAAAGAGTAGGCGTCTCCAGACACACCACTTAGCAGCACGAACCACTGCATTATGCAGCTCTCTAATAAGTTATGAGCAGTCATGCGCGCCCGTTAGGTAACCACGCGCTCAAAACAGCTCTTTCGACCGCTTCGACACAAAATCGAAGCAAGCGGCAGGCTCCCGCTGACGGAATTGGTAAGCAGCAGTGTGTGTTTAAGCTACGTCATTAATACGCAATTGGATTGTCGCACAGTAAGAACTTCAGGCAATGCTAAAGGGCACAAGTTTGTTGTGGAAGGTCAGTTCTTCCAAAAATTCAACTAGTTTCCAGAGATTGAATTTCAAAGAAACATTTACTTCCTTGTTCGCCGACTTCCTTTTTCGGAGGCGAAGTTTGAGGCACTGGCCTTCTCATTAATCTCTTCATTCCATTCTTAACTTCAATTATTGTCACTTTTTGGTTCAAAAGACCCATTTTGCACAAAATATTAAATTAAATACTAGTATTTTTAATAGATTAATACTTAATAATAATAATAATAATAATAATAATAATAATAATTAATACTTCTAAAATTTTTCTGTAGAGAGGAATCAAACACAAGGTACGATACCTCGTTCAGAATGTTCCTTATGAGTGACGAAAAGTGAACTGGTTCCCTTATGTTTTAATGTCAATCGTGTGCAATTGTCAAATGTTAAGGTACTAACAAAATTTTTGGATCTCTCAATTCATTCAAATCTGAAATGGAGCGTCCATTTAAATGAATTAAACACAAAATTAAGTTCATTACGCTACATGTTCAGAGTTCTTTTAAATTCAGTCCGCCTTTACACTGCTCATTGTGTATATTTCGCGAATGTTCATTTCCGCCTGAGATATGGCATAATATTCTGGGAAAAATATCTTATAGCTCCCAGACTTTTAGATTACAAAAACAAAGTGTACGAATAATAAGCATATCCCAACAAGTGATTCTTGAAAGCCTCTCTATTAAGCTAGGAAGGTACTTTGGCTTTTGACTAACGAATAAGTTTTTTTGGTAAAAAATGTCTTACTCAAGAATGGAAATATATTTTCAGCAAATATGATATCTGTAACTATAACTCCCGACGTAGTAATCATAATCATCATGTTTCACGGCTCACCTCAAAAAATCATATACAATACATGTACAGTCTGTTAGAACACATTGCCAGATGACATTAAACTATTAAAATCGATACACACTTTTATGTGCCAAGCAAAATCTAGTCTGATGCATCACTGTTTCTCTACAATTAGTCTATACCGAGCATCAAAAAGAAGGTAAGATTTTAACAGTGATATTTAATATTTTAATGATCATTTGGACTGTATAATTCAGTTTTTTCGGCATTTGCCTACAACTTCAATATTGAATTATTTTTATTAATGAAATCTGTTCTTTTAAGTTAGATCTTGAAATAAGGTCAAGTACAAATTTTAGAAAATTAAAGTTGTTTTCCCGTAATTTTGCGTGGAATATAGGCAATTATTAAACAGTTATATTCTCAATTTAGAACATTAAAATTGTTTAAAATTAAAAAAAAAACAAAGTTTTTTTCAGGAGTCACGGGGGAAGGGTATAAAAGGGATACAGTTAGTATTCTCCTACACTGCTAAGAGAAAAAAATGCCTTAAATTTTAAAAAATCCACATATTCGGGATGAAAAATGTGGATCATTTGAATTTGGTCCATTTTTTCGAACTTGAAGATGGTCTGTTGTTTTAAAGCGTAATTTTCAGCATTTTAGAGAGATTTCAATATTACATCAAATATTAGCCATATCACCAGTCTGAATAACGACAAGGAGAATGAAAAATCTACTTTGGTATTGTTTTTTTTTAATAAGGAGGAGGAAAAGGAGTTATTTCTCCTATAGTCTCTCCCCGTCCTATTCTGCAAACCACACCCTTATCTGCCCTGCCTCGAACTTTCCCCGTCAGAAACCCACTGCCCTGATCCTACCCGTCCAGTTCCGCCCTGTCCCTCTGCACCCTGCCCCGCCCCACCTCCTTCTGCGACACCTGTGCCGCCCTGCTCAGCCCTGCCACGTTTTCTATATCCTATCACCATCATTGTTATGGATAGCTGTAAACACATGGATTTGTGCATACTCCCGGCAAACTTTCAGCAACAAGTTTGAACTTCAATGACGTAAGAGATCAACTGCGTTATCGAAATGAATAAAAATGAATTTGTGACTCATTTAAATGGAGTTTAAGAAGTTAATTACGTTAATTTACACACCGTTTGCGAACATATTCACGAAAACTGGAGAAGTTCCACAGTTAAAGTTTGCTTTTAGACAAATACACACGGGATGGCCTTTTTACGGAAATCTCGTGCAGAACAAACATTTGCTTGGTTTTGAAAGTCACGTGTACAGAAATTTCATAAAGAATCCCGAGTAAAACCATATATTATTATATATATTATATATATATATATATAATATATATATAAATATGTTAAAAAACAATCAATCAAACAATTTTTTGTACCAGAAAATAATTTTGAAAAATTTACTAAAGCAAATAATTCTCGACAAACATTCTACCATTCCGTAAAAACGGAAACCTTTCATCGCAATGGTTCAGCCGATCCAGATAATTAACCGAACGGACAGACAGAACATTCAAAATAGTAAAAAATGTGTCATTTATTATAATGTAAATAAGCGTGGGAAAAGGCAATTATTTTGAAATAATAGATAGAAACTTCAATTGTATTTATGTAGAATGTATATGAAAAAACGAAATTACATTGATTTTTGCTTTTTCGAGGAAGTGGAAACTTTAGTCAGATAAGATCATATGGAAGATATTTTCTTCTAGACGAAAAGTTGACGACTGCAGTGGTATTCCATTAACTAGGAAAGGATCTTTTTATGGTTCATATTTTATTGATCAGTTACATAAATTAGCCAATGATCTTGCAAACACGCTATTGCCTTTGTCGGTCCAAGTGGCTTACGATCGTATCGCGAACATTCCATTCTATTTTTCTTATTTCTATTCGGTCCCGAGCAATGCACCTACTGGCATCCATTGATTTTCAATTACCGCTCGGGAGAACCAGTGAGCGCCGGATATTTTGGTCTTCTCAGAATGAAGTGGGTTTGTCGGTAAAAGTTCGTGTATGCCATTGGATCACAGCAGTTGATGAATATGATTGAGAGTGAGTTGCCATAATCTTGACAACAGCGTGAACACGAATAAACAGATAGAAATCAAGACTGATATCCAGATTTCAAAGTGAGGGTTTGAGCGCCCAACACGTCAAAAGATAATACATTACTGATAATTATATCTCTCAGAAATATAGAACCTTCAACTATCACATTTCCGACAATGCTTACAGGAATATCCTGCCCATGACGTAAATACTAACGATTCTTCGTTATTGGAATCAGTAGTGAAGTGTTTTATATAAAATGAATTGGGAGCGGATTTCTATGCTTTTGCGTATTTTTGTCCGTTGTCTTCGGTCATACCTAAGTGAAATTTCTTGACATTTGGTTAGAATTTTTTGCTAAGTAGATTAATATGTTAGTGCATATTTGTTCATATTTGGCCGATTTTTCCTGTTGCTGCATAGCCGTGTCATTATAGGAGCATATTTTGCATATTTCTTTATCATAGACACTCATTTCAAAAACGTATCATATTTTCATAGAATGTATTTATTTGTAAGCGTTCATTTTCCAGATAGAGCTTGTCTCAGTCTTTTGAATAAATGATCAAATACTTGTGCAAATGTAGCTTATGTTACTTAATATCGTATTTCTTAAACCAGGCAGAAAAAATTAAACAAGACATACAATGCATTCACTAAGGTGGACCTTTACTTCATTTATTTCTACCGCGAAGTAAGCTAGTTATATAAGTTTGTACAAGAAATATATATTTTCATTTCAAGCATGATTTTTTTGAATTTTACCGAGAAAGGTTTATACAGGAAATGAAATATTGTAAATTATAACTGCATATTAAAGTGCATATTTCAGAATTTTTAGATCATAAATGCATATTATAATAATAATATCGTTATAATTAGACGAACCTCTATGGAAACTACTTGAATGACAACCATAAATAATTATATCACTAGTTTTTCTCCACCGATACACATTCCTGACTCTGGAAACATGAATCAAACGAGAGGGATGCTCAATCTCAGGAGTCGAAACCGGGTCGAGCTCTCTGCCGACAAACCGTATGCGTTAAACGGAAAATAAATCACCCGTTAACTGCATGCCAGAACTGTCGGGTCGTCTGTCTATTTGAAGGAAATCTCCTAAATGCAAGTGTGGGGTGAATGTTCCAAACTCATTTTAACGGGCAGATGGCGCCCCTTGGCGCGTCCTTGGCAACTTTTCTCCAGCTGCAGAGCGTTCGCATTCGTTCTGCCCATTAGATGTCGGGGGAAGGGGCGTGGAAGCGGGCCGGGTTGGGCGGCGAACTGCGAGTCGGGGAGCGAGCCCTGGAGGGGGGCTCGGGCCCGCGGCGGGGGAGGGAGTGCAGGGGGCGTGTCAGGGAGCGGCGGTGATAAAAAGAGACGGGAAGCGGCGCGTTTGGAAGCGTGGGAGCAGAAGGCGGGACCGCGAGTCGTGCGTCGGCAGCGGGGCTGGGGTCCCGGGGTGGGGAGGGTCGTGCAGGGGGGATGGGGGCGTTAGATAACAAGAGGAAGCGGGCTTGGAGGGCGGGGGCGGAGGGGGGGAAGCCATCGGACCCTGGAGAGGGCGTGCGGGATGGGTCAAGAACTGGCAGTGGGGATGTGCTGCGCGCTTCGCGCTCCCGCTGTGGCTGGCCCGGTGCTGAGCCGCCGCCCTATCGACCGGGCTACAGGTAACAGGCACGCGGCGCCGGCCGATCTGGGCGCGCCCTGCGAACGCGTGCGGGCGGCGGCTGCCTGCTTCCGTCGGCTCCTCCTCGACTGCGCGCGGAATCATCGGCGCGCCTGGCGTGAGCGCACGGAGTGGCGCGGGCGGCCCGGGCGGGCGACGGGGCTGCGGTGAGGGCGGCTGCACAGACACCGATTGGCGGCGGCGGCCAAGACGACGGGAGCTGTGTGGTCCGCGGCTTAAGAACGCTCCACAGGAACGAGGACAGGGAATGGTGCCGGCAATAGTGACGGCACCATTCCCTGAATGGATGAGAGGTTGAGACAAAGGAGGTAGGAAATGAAACAAAATAGAGACGGCAGAATGATCGGAACAGAAGGATGCCAACGACGGCCGAAGGGAGGGGGGTGGATTATTCACGTTGTTAAAAATATATTTAGTATTAATCTCAGGTCTGAAATTTCATTTGAAGGATGTAATTTAAAATGTATGCGCACAGGCTGGTTTATTTTCAATGTTTTACATTCCGAAAACACATTTTCGTATTCTAGACAGTTTTTATCTTGAATAAAGATGAACTTTTAAGACGAGGCGGTAAGTATACGGTTGACAAGAATTTTTAAAATACACGCAAACCAAAGCTACTTCATGACAGCGTAACGAGCGAGAGCGTTGATGGTAGCACTGAGTGCGGGGGGGGGGTGAGGTGTAGGTTTTGCATGGATAATTGTTGGAAATCAGAAGAAGGCCGGTAAAAATTGCTGACCGACGAGGTGGAAGTGTTGGAGGAAACTGTATTCGCTAACATAATTGGGCGTAAAACAGGCCCCCAGTTCGATTCACGGCAGGTATCTGAACTATTTACTCGTTCTATGGTGGTTACACGGTATCATGGACACATCACATATCAGTTACTGAGTGGAACTACTTCCGACGTGTTTGAGATTCCTTGGTGGCAAGATGCTAACGTACGATTTCGGAGAATATGTACAGCTTATTTGAAAATACAACTTTCTCAATTTACTATTCCAAAGTTTTAGTGGAATGAATATCTTTTTACTGCATATCAGAACTTATCACATAAATATGTAGAAAAACGAAAATAAGCTCAGAAGTGGATGAAATGAGAGAGGGAACATAGTTGGGATTAACACGCTTTTCTTTAGGCCTTCCTTCACAAGCACATTTCTTGCACTTATCTTCCATAAACGAAAACATGAGTAATCGAAAGTCAGGGTCAGAAGTCAGAAGTCAGGGTCGTAGAGTTCTGCACGTAAAGCAAATCAGCCCCGGAAAGCGGCTGCGGCTAAAATTCGATTTCGAACTTTTCTCTTCTACTTCTTCATCATTTCATCCATAAGGATGGTTAGAAAGTTGATTGGTATGAAGGGATTGTCTTTAAAATCCTATTTTTTACGTGTTTTATTTTGCCCATAAAATAGGAATCTAGTTCTCTCGTGTAACACGCCCTTCCACTTACTACACTTCAATCCTCGCATTAAATGACTTATTGTATGTTATTTTGAGATATTATACATTTGGCCTTATATGTTATTAATGTAGGATATTATGTAAATGAATAATAATAAATGTGTAATAAATAATAATTATTGCCAATTTGTGTTATCTCTACGTAGGAATTCAGCATGCAACGCAACCAGAGAGAGCGCATTTTATACTCCGCTTTTAATATTATTTTACGAAAACAGAATTATTAAACAACACCGCATTAAATAGTTACAAACGTCATAATTACTAATTCATATTGTTTAAAGTATTGAAGTAGTATTAGTGAGTAAGCAAACTATGATCATTTATTATTAGTAACAATTGTTACATAAGGCCAAGATAACTTCAAGGGTGACATTGACTGTGCAGAGTATTAATTGATGTTTCAGGGCAAAACTGGCGATGTTCTTCCCCCGCTGGATGCTAAGATACCCAGTCCCATCGCTAGAGGTGTCCTCCAGAGAACAGGTGCACTTGACCTTTTGCAGCTGGTGTGCAACACCAGGCTGCAGAGGCAACGGGAGACCTAACACAGCCGGGGCACCTGGCTCTATCTAACTTAGCTGATGTTTGCAGATACTTTCCACGTATTTCCCCACCCAATAAGGTGGCAGTGAGTGGCGTCTATTAAAGAAATAATTATTACTGAATTAAAAATCGTCTCTTGCAATCATTTTCATACCAATTTCTCGAAATAGTTGATTCCTTGATCTAATACAAAGATCACAGGAAACTGTTCTCTTTTCATTTCATCGTATCTGTAGTTCTCTCCTCGATACCCCACAACGTTCATTGACTGAAACGTGTCCTCTTTTGCCTACAGGAGAGGTTTCAAGGTCGGGCTCCCTCTTTCTTTACGACCAACAATTTCCCTACAAGCGTCGATTGCGGTTGCGAAATAATGAGAAACGCGACGGTCCTAATTAAAAAGAAGCAGACGGGATGCTTCCATTCTGCAGAAGCAAAGGGAATTACCACTGTCGGTGGTCGATATTAACAGCCGTTTCTTGCGATGAGAAAGCTTGCGAAAAACGTGGGGAGGAAACATCAAATTTTTTTCTGTGATCACATGGATAATTTTATTATTCCCCAAATTATACTGGTGTCAAAATGTTCGGTATAGGTATTCAGAACTTTTGCTATCGTTGAAGACCAATCAAAATAATGATGACTATTTTATGATCCACATTTCGTCACATTGTCAGTAAACAAGAAAAGTGACTAAGTATAAAAATAAGTGTCATTTTGCAGGACAACGGTATAAATTTGAGCGGAGCCGAATTTTTAGTATTTTAAAATAGCCATGCTTAAGTAGTGAAGAAATATATTTAAGAAATAATTTGTTACTAGTAAAAATTGCATGAAAATAGTTCACAGACAGCTTATATAAAGAGTAAAACACTGTTTTGGACAGGAAATAATCGGATTTAATCCGATTTCGCTCCGATTAAAGCCGGGCACTTACAAAATGAAGTTTTTGAGATGTGATATTTTTTGTGCACCGATGTTATATTATAAATAATGAAATAATTACTTTCATGATAAATAGATTACAGAATTGTGTTCACAGAAATGAAACCTTTTAAAGCGCCATTTTAATATACCACATTTTCACGAAACTCACATCATATTGCCGTATTTTACAACTTTTTCCATCGACTAAATGTGCAAAGCAATAGAGCGTGCGCTCTCATTAAAACTTTCCGTGATATAACCGCTCAATTAAAAGTCAAATTATTCTTTTTTCATTTGCGAACTTTAAACTTGTGGTTCGTGTTAATACACTGTCATATTTTTATAGCCTTACTTAGATATATTGGTTTAAGTTCGTAGTGGAGGTGCGACAGTGACACGTAATGTGTTTGTTACGTTTTAGATTTCAGATGATGGCATGCGAATGTCACTGCTTGAAGACTTGTTCCTGTAACATTCTTGCCTTCTTTGCGTGAGAGAGACTATTTTACGAAAACCCAAACAAAACAGACGTCTCCTCTTGAGTTATGCATAACTTAGAACGGAAGAACAAGAACTTCCAAGAACTAGAAAACATAGTTGCATGTTGCGGTGCGCAAGAAGTAAAGTCAAGTATTCCATTCGAAAGTTTTCGTTTTTAACGTTTCTTAAAGATTTTAATTGTAAAAAACGTTCACGACAGAGGGAACTACTTGCAAAATGCAACTATAAATGAAGCCTGTTTCTGGTACCAGGTTCACACAACTGCACATTTCATTTTCGTTTGAATATATCATGCCTTAGAACACTACGATCAACAAAAAAATCATCAACCCAATGCTCCATGAGTGATAAACTTTTTGACTGCAAATTATTTTCTGATCAGTATAAAGTAAATATATTTTAAAGTAGGTGGATCCACGGGTATTAAGGAAATACTAGTCTCCAAACCGACGCGCCTTATCTTCATAGAACTTTTTAAGAAGTAGTTCCGGGGTAGCGGAGAGCGCGAAAAAAGAAAAGTATAAAACGTTCAATTAACAGTTGATACTCATTAAATAATGTGCAAATTGCAAATTAAAATGCAGAATCGAAATTGAATCGGATTTCAGTTGGTTTAATCAGTAGGAATTACACAGTTTAAACCCGATATTATCGTAAAAGTACTCTCTGGGGATACGCTTCGGATTTCTGGTGCACTGACTTACCTGTCTCTGCCGATACCGAGTTGAAAAATAGGCATCGTTTCAGTGGTTTTAATCGGGGCTATGCATATTCGTACGGAGCACACAAGCATACATGATAGGGAGGTGGGTGAGCGCCTACCTGCGTGGCAGTGGACGGCGACCTTTCCTTCCTCCAGGGCGAACGCCATCACTTTCACCATGTCCAGGAGGCCGCTCGACGTCGCTTCGCCATAGTCCTTCCAGCCGAAGTTGTAGAAATAAACTGCAATTCAAATTTCACAAGGTACACATAAAATGATGAAGGGTTTTACATCCACGTTTTTGATATTTTCTCTTTTCACACTTGGTGTGCGGTCAGAACAAAGGGACTGGATTACATCTCTGTCCATCTATCTGTACATAGTACTAACACCTAAACCGTAGAAAGTATTTACCTCAAAATTTATATTTGCTGATCGACGTGTTCGAACTCAAGGCTCTTCGAATTTGAAACAGATCTTTTAATTTTTTGCGGTATTTTTCTTTGACTTAGTACGATATATACAAAATTTTCTCAACAATGGTGCTAATTTTTTTCTTTTCACTTTTTCACTTGAATGAGACAAATAGTATACATAAATATGCTGACGGCACAATTTCCATTTAAAGCTCGAAAACTGAGAACATTTTTAAGTTCGAAATTTGTTCGACCCTCGCCTAGAAAAATACTATATAAGCAGGTTTTTAGAGAAATTAAATTTTTTAAATTAGAATTTAAATAATGCCCCATATTTTTTTGAAAACATGAGTAGCCTTTACTTGGTTTTCAGACATTGTCAAAATTTTCCAAAAATACCTAATCAAGCAGTAGAATTATTTATCCTTTTCGCTGGGTAATCTCAAAAGCAGATTTACGTATTATTTAAATCTCGTGCCCTCATTAATGAAGACATGTTATTCGCTCGTTTACCCGGTGGATATTAGAAGATCGTGAGTCAATGGTCATTGGATTTTGCTGTTACGATAACTTAAAGGAGAAAAATGAATTCTCTTCAGAAACTCATTGTTTTCCATTTGTTTCTCCAATACGAACTAATTGTTTCCATTTCCAGTTGCTGAGCGTAGAGAACGCGTCTAAAAAACGGCCTCGGGGAGTGCGCGTGTGTATGTGAGTGCGTGGGTGAGGGTGGCGTGCGGTGGGCGCGCGTGGGAGGGGACGGAGGCCGCACGCGCCCGACAAGCCGTGGCGGTCGGTGGCAGCGAGGGTGTTGACGGCGGTGGAGGTGGCAGCCACCGCCAGCGCGCGCCGGTCGATGCCGCGAAGAAGTCGCTGCCGCTCGCCAGTTCCCACCCCCGCTGCCCCCGCTACTCCACCCCCGCGCCACTCCTGTGTGTGCAGTCGCTCACGAGATCTCCTTCCTCCGTCCTGAGAGAGGAGCCCAAGTGTTCAGGGTGAAAGAAAGAAAAAAGAAAGAAAGAGTGAAAGAGCAAAACAGAGAGAAAGAAAGAAAGACATATGTAACGAATAAAGAGCGAACCCGACCAATTCCAGAATTAGCCGGATAGTGTTCATATTATCCAAAATCGGTATGAGTATCTTCGAACCATACTTCGAACTGTTAGCCGAGAGTTAACATTAGACAACATAAGGTGACTAAGTTAGGTGAAGTGCTTTACGGTGACGAGGTGTAGCAGATATGTAAAAACAGGAATTAACCTGCTGGTGTGAAGCTTCTAAAGGTAGAAAGAGGCAAGGTGTGTAGTTTCGAGGTCTACAGTGTCAGTGTTAAATTTATGTTCAATTGCTACAACTTTATCTAAGAGCACTATATACTTCCCTTAATGCTTCGCTACGCCCTCCCACGCGCGCCCACCGCACGTCACCCACGCACTCACATACACACGCGCACTCCCCGAGGCCGTTTTTAGACGCGTTCTCTACGCTCAGCAACTGGAAATGGAAACAATTAGTTCGTATTGGAGAAACAAATGGAAAACATAAAAAAAGGCTAAACGGAAAACAGTCGAAACCCTGAGCTAAGTGAACTCAAATACCAGACCCATCTAACCCTCATTGATCATGGTTCTTTATTTAGCTTGGATACTATTTAGGTTACCATGAACATCGTTCAAATAACATATGATATTTTAGCATGTCAAAAGTATAAACATCTTGCTGCCGTAGAGCGTCTCTTCAAAACGACGGCCATTAAAGTATTTTCGAAACATACAGGAGTGCATGTCAAAAGAACGCGAATTCACATCTAATTAACAATAATTAAAATTTCAGATGGTCTTTAATACGCAAAACAATTGCTTGCATATACACGATGTGCTTGTATGCTTAACATTATGGTCACCAGACGAACTTCATTATGAAGTGTGACCTTTTTCAGCTTCTCTTAATACTCTTTTTTTTTAAAATTTATTTAAGGTCGCATCAACTACTAGGTCATTAGCGACCACTATTGCTTGTAACGGTATGGTAACTGTGGGTTGACACGATAACGATGATGATAGGGGGTGAAAGGACGAAACACAATACAACCATGCCCGAGGCGGGACTCGAACCCGCGATCCTTCGGTCCGAGTTCGCTACAGCACCACTGCCTTAGCGATCTCGGCCACCGGATCGGCATTAATAGTCTTTAAATCGATTGGAATTGTACATATGTTAAGAGAAAAGAAAAAGACATGGGTGATTGTTCATTGCCTCCATTCATTAATCCCAACGAGTGAAAATCGAGAGCTAAGTAATTTTATGAAATTACGCAGAACTTAAGATAAGTTTCTTTCGCACAGCATTCAGGAAAAAATACGACCTCAATGCAGCGTTAATGTGCGGACCGGAAGGCATTAATAACGTCCAGCTGGAAGTTTCGCGAGATTTGTTGCCTTTCCAAACCCTATTTGATTTGATTTATTTTCGTTAAAGAACAGTAAAAATTGTATATTACATATAAAGGAGAAGTACAAGCTACGCACGCTTTCTTGAACTTCAGAATCTCTTCCCCACAATCCTAAGGCAGCGATCACAGCAGAGCCGATTTTGGAGGAAATGTCTGTCGGTTGACGTCTGACGTTTCCGTCCGATGTGCCAGATTCGTTCCAACAAGTGCTGATGAACGGAAACGGTCATAGTAAACCTTCTTCTGACAGCGTCCAAAAACATCGTCTGTCGGATGAAGATCTGTTTCTTTTGGTTTTGTCCGTCCGACCGGCATGTCGGCCAAAATCGGCTCGACTGTGACCGACCTCTAAAGCGAAACTTCACCAGGGACGCTTTTCGGAAGACTTTATAAGGGACATTTCTGTAGGTAATGTAAATAGAATGGTTTGTAAAGAGACGGGAAAAAATAAACCCAGTATGATTCACCTGTGTGCAATGAACAACGTCTCTGCCTGATCGCGGAGGCCCCGGCTGCATTGGCTTTTGGCTGGCTGCGTGACGTCGCATCGTGTTTTACTGAGTTAATGCTTCTTGCCGTCATAATGTGGCTTTCTACGAGATATATAGCAGAGCTATATTCGGTGAAAACGCCAGACCAGACAACAAACGGTGCAAAGGACACTTAAGCGAGCAGGCACTACTACGACGTCAAGAAAAAAGTTAACATTTAATAGCAGATGGACACACAAATTTTAAACACTAATTTATATGGATTTAGAAAATGGTAGATGCCAGAAAGGAGGAGAACAAAACCCGAGAATGATTCAAGAGTAAAATTAGTAAAAATACTGATAACATATTTTGCATGCATATTTTGTTATTCTAGAGCAATTATGAGCTAAATGGAAGTTTGATTTAATTTTATTTAATTTTCGTAAAATAAAGTAACAACTGTACGCGGAAGAAGTATAATCTGTCCCAGAATCTCATTTTCCTTTCCCTATACATAGTTAAATTGTGAATAAAAGTACTAACAAAGCGAGGTTAGCAACATTTGGAAAACTAGATTTTTTTCTGGAAAGTTATCGTGTATTTAATTGATCGTAATTAAGGCAAGATAATGGAGACAGCGGTTACAATTAGTTAACTGACTGGCTTAATGTGACGTCTCCGACGTTTAAAACTGTTTCTTAAGTATTTTAACATTCACTGAGTTGAAAAATTTTAATTAAACGAAAAAGATACGAAAAGGGCTAATTCCTTACAAGCAAACAGAATCGTGTCGTATGACACCTTGCTGTTTGCCCCAAAAGGCAGACCAGAAGGTGTCTAACGGTGAGGGACGGATAGGCACACACAGGTCACCCGACGACTATCTGATAAACGACAAGATTTGAAACTCCGAGTGGAGCAATCGTTTTTCTCACGGAGTGTCACTGCGTAAAACCAGCCACAACGTAACTGCAACAATGTTTTTTAGGTTTAGCTGAAGCGTAATGCTTATTTATCGCCTTTAATACTATTGCGTGTTGCCTTCTATTCATCGTGACATGTGCAATTCCTCAATGAGGAGCCTGGCTTCGCCTGCCTTAGCCGTTTAGAGACCCAGATTCCCACATTGCAGGGAACCTAACCTCACGATTAGGCTCAGTCTGTTGGCAAAGGCTCGCAGCCCGCCTCTTAGCCAACCTGCTGGAAGAAGCATTAGTAGCTACTAGTTGGTCCCGAACGAATATTCCGCACTTTGTAAATATTTTTTTCAAGAGTGAAAGTAAGTTTTATATTTTCGAAAGGCCGGCTTTCAACAGAGAGGTACATTATATAAGCCCGGGGTTATGGGTGAATTTGAGAAAACTTTAGAGAACTTAAGAGATAATTTTTCATTCTACACATGACACGCCCTTCTTCTACTTACTTCAATGATCAGAATGGAGGTATTTGCAGTAATCAGGATCAAAGTGCACCTGTATCTCGACGCGATTTGATGCGCAATGGGACGCGTCAATGTTGTAGTATACGAAAATGTACTTTAAATAATAAAAAATAAATATTGCAATTGTAAGTACTTATTGTTTTCGGTTGTAATATGTATTTTTAGTCTTAAATATATTTGCTGGAGTTCTCGGAAATAGGTTACTGTCTTTCAGCACTAACTGATTTACGGAGATTTGTGTCGACTAAAACTTAAGTAGAGACACTCCCCTCCAAAATGTAATAGATTACAATGGGCAACTCTGAACTTGAGATCGAATATCTGTCTTCAAGGGCCTAGGATGCAGCGTTTCTGAATTTTGAGCGATGGTAACGTGTGTTGTGGCGCAATGTGTATCGCAGATTGCATTTGCCCCTGTCCGGTCATAGCATAATCTACAAAATTCCACATTTTCTGTCTCAGATCTGTGTGATAGGCAAAGAGTAACACATTTACTGAGTTATGTGTGAATGTACTCTTGCTGATAAAAACATATTACCTTGGCGTATTTTATATAAAGAGGATGGCAAGGAGGCAATCCATCAATTAGCGATTAAGCATCGATTTTCATATGTTCTTATTTATCAGACTTGTTCTTACCAGTAAAAACGACAAAACCTTCTCTCTTCCAGTTTGGGACTCTCTTTTGTGTTGAGTCTTATTTGGCGATGTATCTACACACAGTTTAAATATTCATTTCATGCATGATTCACTTCGACAGGTCTCAAATTACTTCCCGGAGATGACCAGAGGATTAACTGCTCTATTAAAATGAAGCTGAGAGACGAGAGACAGAACTACCATGTACACTTCGTCCAGTCAACTAACGTTTACAGAAATACACCGGCAGGCACGATTCATTTTGTTTAAAATTATGCCTAACTACAGGTTTGCATACACTCCTCATCCCGACCAAATTGTAATACTTTTTAACTTTCAAAATTGGTTTGGGGAAAATAATTGTTAACGTTGCGTTAGAAACGAAACAATTTTAAGTTCAAGTCATATTTAATTTTCTTTACGCAATGTCCTAATGAATATTTTCGGTGAATTTAGAGAAACTTTTTAAAACTTACATTACTATGCTTACGTCTTTCTTTACATGGTAGCTAAGGGGTATGATTGACGTTAGTCGTATTCATTCTCAAATTGCAGAATTTTAGTAAATAGAACAATATATGTCAGAATTAATAGATATAGAACAAATAAAGTGTTGTAATTGCTCATGAAAGGAAGTTTGGACGCTATCCATTAGAAATGAAAAAACCTTACTTACTGTTATTCTCCATGAAGATATCAGGGTTATATGTGAAACCACTGCTTTCCAGAGAGGCCCCGCAACTCGCATGCTCTCCAGGGATCTGCAGGTTTATGATCGACCGAATGCCAGCGCTGCAACAGTCAGTTCGGCATCAGCGCGTTCGAAACTGGAGCTGTGGGCGCATGCACCAGCCAACTGTCGCGATGCCTTAAGCGCTCAACGGACGCAGGGAAAGGAGAGGGGGGGGGGGCAACTTAGGACCTAGCAGGTAAGTCAGTGGAAGCAGTGCTCTAGCCTCGTACATTAAAATTTTCTCGGATGGTGTAATATTAATATGATCAACGAGAAGACTTTAAACAACTGATGTTTATTTTAAAATAAAACAAAAAATAGTGTGCTTAGTTGTTGCAGGATTGGAATTACCATTTTGTAATTGTTTTCGGGAACTTAGCTTTTACTGCACCTCAAACATTTGTCTTTGTAAAGCCACAAACAACATATATTATTCCACATGATTTAACGTAATTAAACTTTATTTTAACAGAAATAATTAACTTATTATTGTTGATTGCATTTTAAAATGTATTTTTCTTTCTGAATATTAAAATTAAGGATTAAATGAGAGTAGAAGATTTTTTTTTCGTAAATCCAACTTTACATCTATTCACACCATTCAAAGACATTTGTGACTAAATACGTACTGTCAAATTCAGATTTAGGCACGTCATGCAGTTAACACTAGATTTACGATCGCTTCCCACACCTTCTGAGAATATGACTTGAGCCTTGTTTGCTTCGAAGCGGCTGCGAAAAGCGAAGATGAGAACGCCATGTCGAGGCCAGATATCAGGGTTTTGCGGAATGCGAGGCTCTGCGCCCAGGTCGGAATGTTAAATGCTTTCTAGAGATCCTACTTACTTGTTTACCAAATGAAATTTCATTCGCGAATGTCCGGTAAGGTAGCGAAAGTTCCGAAACCAGAGAACTTATTTTGGCGAGAAAATTTTGTAAATCATAGGGAATTTTGCATGTCCTTGCAGATGGCAATTCACATAAACCCCATACTACGATTTAATAACAACTCTTAAAACTGTTCATTGTTTACATTTATTCAAAAAAGTGGATCTTAAGAATAGAAATAAATTTACTATTCAGACTAAAAGATCTGTCATATTCATTTTCATTATTTCGATTTGATGCTAATATTGGACAGTAAAACAAGGAGTTTTCATTCACTGGAGGTTTCTTTAATTTCCAAACAAATTCTTCCTATTATTTTGAATATTATCAATGAGACCTAATAGTATCCGATATTTAAAGAAGAATATCCGGAATAGTATTCGAGATACTTAGTGTCTGAATGATATTGACATGCAAACACTGCATTGAGACTCGCACGAAAAGGATTATTTATTTATATAGTACTTCTAGCAACGAAAAGGGCACAGAGCGTGACTGATGTCATTAGTTCTATTAAACCAACAGTTACGTGGGAAACGATCGTGTTGCACATTGAGCAGAGAGCAAACTTTGATCGACAAATTGGTGCTAACTGGTCAAATCATCATTCTTTCTCTTTGTTTCTTTACTCTGCGGATGAAATGCCATGAAATGCGGATGACGATCGTTCCGCTCAATGTCAGTGTTTCGTAGCGTGCTACTCCAAGTAAATATTTTCTATACTACGATGAGCATTTTCATTTACAATTAAAAACCAAAGATCATCTGAGAATAAAAACAACTACATCTATCATTATAACTTTGTAACAATATTCTAAAGTTAATATTAACTTTCATTAATGTACTTCAATGCTACGTATTTATATATTCTTCACCAATAAACATAATGGGATATTTTGTAAAATTTCTTTTACAATATAAGAAAATGGAATATTTCAAATCTGATACAAAGAGTAATACATACAGTTTTTAACACACGTACGTTTATTAACCATAAATAACAATTAAAAGCGTCTTTTTTAAATATACTTCAGTATTATGTTCTGATTTGTTTATATACGTATAGAATTTACACTATTTTTTGTATTAGCAGGAATGTCTAACAAAATGTAAATTAGAAACTTTGTAATATGATATCCAACATATTTCATATCAAGTAATATGTACAAATATGTTGTGGAAATTCATTGCTTCAAGCAGTGGACTTATTCCTCCTAAGCACAATCTTGTTTTATTTATTGTTGTTGCATTATAATTATTAACACTCATTAAAATTATTTTATGACATTTGTTACATTTATTTACATTGGAAATGGAAGACGTGTGTTACGAAAGATGAATCGTCTAAAAAATTTTACGTTTCAACTCAAAGTATGATAAGTGGAGACGATGTTTCAAATGACGTGACCTAATGATTGGGTTATATACTTCACCTTAAAAACTGATGAACAATGTTCTTTTTCTTTATTATTTCTGTACTAGGTCGTGCCATGGCGAGGATGTGATCCGTTACCCTGAAAAATGAGAATGCTATGTTAATGCTATGAGAATGCTATGTAAATTTCACAGTTTCTTCACTCTCGGCGGAACAGAGTCACTTCGTCTGAATGTAAGACATTTCAAATAGAAAATTATCTCTGTAGGTAAATCCATAGAGTATAAAGCTGGAACACCGTTGTGTACCAGCAGGTGACAAGGCTTCTAGAAGGAAACGAGTGGTGTTAAAACAGCACATACTACCTAACGTTATTTGTAACGACTATGCAATATTATACTACTACGTGTACCTGCAAAAGTATTTCAACCAGCAAAACTGATTCCTCCGCGCCGAGATTCTAACTCGTGTCCTCCGAGCCAAGAGCCCAAGCACATTAACACTACCCCGAGTGGTCACTCGCGGACGCTCGCTCTTCATGACGCTTACACACGAAAGGTGTCTCCCATTATTTCCCACTTTTGCCATTTTCGAAAATTCAGAGTATTTAACGAAAATGAGACCTGCGACAATTTTTTAACCGTCCTTTTCTCTCTATTCGAGGAAATAATTAAAGAAACAAATTCGGCCCATTTTTGAGACTTTTTAAAATAAATTGCATTAAATTGACAGAGAAATTACGCGAAAACTACTCGATTAAAAAAATATTTGACCTTTTTTAACAAAATGATTTTATAGATCAGATTTCATGTAAGGAAAATATCTATCTTCAATACTGTATTTTCGAAAATTGAGAGTTAGAACGAATGTAAGACGTAATTATTTTTTAAGCATCAGCAAAGCAAGTACGCCCGAGCGACTGCGTGATGTAGCGGTAAAGGGCATGGCTAGTTAACTCCATGGAAGTGAGTTGGAGACTCGGCGGGTTTGAGATAATGTAACGTTATTTATATAACTATATATTTATTTAACGATAATTATAACGTTATTTTCTCCTTTTGAAAGCCTATTTTAGGCCCCAGAATGATAGGTTGTAGAGCTTACAAATTCGGAAGCCTCGCAGACTATTTGGAGTGATCCCAGTCTATTGGACATCAAATGTAGACTGACATCAAATGCAGACTGGCATTAAATGCAGTAATGGAACGGAAGAGAGAGGGAAAGAGAAAAAGAACGAGAGAGAGACAGAGACAGAGAAAGTGAGAATGAGAAAGAGGGAGAGAGCTCTAGTCCAGATCTTCGTAACTGTTCCACAGGTTTATATCTAAGTCACTTATGCAGAGATTTGCATCAATTACACGCGAGATCATCACTCTGATCTCATGCAGAGTTAATACATTTTACGCGTAATACACATAGTTGTTGGTATCTACGTCTTATAGTTGTAACCTGCAAAACCTCTAAATTACTTCCATCACCCTATTGCTGTTGATGTAAATAAAGGGGTTATAAAATATTCATTTGTTAAAAGTGTCTTGAGACTCTTAGATTTACATAACTGTGTTACTTTCTCGTTTTACGAAGTTCTTCGTAAGAAGAGAAAGTTATGTAATTGTGCGCTGGAAAAAGGGCGAATTTTTGCCAGAAAACCTCTTATTACTGGGCTCTGGTAACGAAAAAGTGGATAAATCTTGTTGCTAAATTTAGAAAAAAATTCTGTAACACCTGATGTGGCAAGAATCAATGTTTGTTGGATCTTGATATCGAAAAATCGATTGACGGCAAAACGTCGGCTGTTTATCTGTGGTCAATGGTAGCACCTAAAACTTTCAGCCGATTTTCTTCAAGATTGATATTCCCCAATCCATCTGAATCAACTCCAGGCTTTGGGAGTTTCAAACGGATATTTCACACGAAGCCGAAAAAGTATTTTTAAATTTTCTCAAAATTGGGACTAAATTTTTTGATCAAACATTGTCTTCGGATAGTGTAAAACGGCTTACGAGAAAGGTGGATAGTCATGTTGAAATCACAATTAAAAAAAAACAAACAATTTGCTGATTTAGTGTGATCACAGAAGATAAGCTGTTGATGAATATGAGATGTACTGTATAACAGCCTTAAAGATTACACACTAATGAAAACTTTGCTCCCAGAAGTACCCGACCATCATGCAAACAAGTGCGTATGTTGCACACTATCAGCAATGACAATGATTTCCTTTTTACTGTCGGCCGCCCATTTCGAGTTGAGGTGTGTCCACAGAGTAAGATTAGGTGGCTCCAACTGGCCGTGCAGGTCATTGCGATATCGAGTACTATCTCCTGAGTATCACTTGCACGTGTATGGACGGCGAATGCTCGTTGCCCAGTTAGACGAGTCCGAGTGAGACTGCGGAAACATGAATGGCCCTGTCGCCGCACTGCGCGCCTCACCGGTGAGCAGAGGCGCCCAGAGACAACGAAAGGTCTGGAGCAGTCGATCCTCGGGCTCCCTTATTTCAAACAAAAAATTCCCTCCTCTCCCATTTCCTAAACCGAATTCATTTCTCCGTGCATCAAAAATAACCTACAGCGTTAAATTTGGTTTAGAGACAAACATAGTTTTCATTTGTTTTGAATGAAAAAGAATCGGTCCCAAATACGTCGGGTCCTGGGGCAATTTGCTCCAGCTGCTCCCCTCTTCTGAACCCCTTTCCTGTGACCATCTTCTGCTGTTGGCAGCAGCGGATAGAGGGAGGCTGGCATACACGACAAGCAGGATCGCCACGCACCGCGAGGCTGGAGGTTCGTCTGATTGTGTTGTCTAGGCTATCCGGGACGAGCCACGTCACTGACATGGTGGCTAACGTTTCGGCGTATTGTGACCTTCTTCAGAGCGTACTGCTGACGCTCAGCCACAATATGCTGGCCGAAACGAAACGCTGGCCGAAACGTTTTCGTTTCGCAAACGTTAGCCACCATGTCAGTGACGCGGCTCGTCCCGGATAGCCTAGACAACACAAACTCCGGCCGCGAAAGCCTACGCAACCACGTTCGTCTGATTGCTGGCTACGCGCGAGAAGATCCAACGGCAGCTCTATTGAGCGGGGTACGCAAGCGCGCTGTCACACCTGCTAGCCCCACCGTTACGACCCTCACACCTCAGTGGCGTCACTATTAACTCGCCGAGAGTCTGGATTCCCGAACATGGTGACATGCAGACTAGCAGCGGGTCATCTTCAGTGACGAGCGCCGCGTCTGCCTTAGTTGCGACGACCGCCGGGTCCGCGTCTGCAGGTGGGTGAGAAGCGTCACGATGAGCCCCCATCACACGTTTAACCAGTCTGATTTGATGGTGCCCAGGCGCAATATCCTATGGTAACTAGTAATTTTTTTTATTAATCTTTGCCCTCAAATAGTATAAAGAACGCTAAAAGAGTGGCGTAGGTTTAATTTTCATTGAAATACCTAATTTGTGAAAATTTGAAAAAGTTGAATTTTTTTAGTCGTGTTCCTACAACTTCAATATTAAATAGAGAATTTTTTATTTAATGAAATCTGATAATCAAAGTCAGGTTTTGAAATAAGAATTTGGCAAACTCTATTTTCGAAAATGGCAGAAACTTAACAATGCAAAATACAATATTGAAGATACAGATTTTTGTTTAAAATAATTGTTCTAAAATAATGGAATCTATAAATTGGGTGACGTACAATTAAAAAAGAACAAGTCGTTTTGCTTAATTTGTGTTTAAAGTTAATGAGATTTATAAAAAAAAAATTCAATTACGGCTACAATATTTTCCACGAATAGAACGATGAACGCTTAAAAGAGTGACGCAGGTCACATTTTAGTTGAACTCTCAAAAACTTCAAAACAATTGCAAAAAAGTTGGAATAATGCGAAAGTATCGTGCTGCTTGTAGTATGCGCACAAGTTTCGAGATTACAAAAATCACACCAACATCCACGTAACTAAACATTGCTCGGACTTAAGAGCCCTTTACCGGTGCATAGACAAGCCCAAGACAGTTATTTGGGGGGGGTAGGGTGAGGGAGGCGGGGGGGGGGGGGCGAGACCGCAAGCGCACGCAGCGCAGGCGTCTCCGCGGTCATGGTCGCCCCCGCGCCGCCCGCTCGCGGGCGGCAGCCTTGCTGGGGTCCTCTTGTCATTGCCATCCCGCGCGGCGCTGGCCTGCCGCGTGCTCCGTATTGTTGTCGTGTATCGAACTTGCGGAATGACTTATATTAATCCGTTGCGCTGCTCCCACGTCGGCGTGGGCGCGGGGTCGGGGGCGGGGCGGGGATGGGAGCGGCGGCGCGCGGGGCGCCGGTTTGCAGTGCGTTTCGCCGGCGGGCTCCTCTGGAAGCGCTCAGAATAGCAGCATTGGTAAGTGCATTCACTGTGGCTTCCCACGCTCGATTCTTACTCCGGCAGACGGGGGCGGAGAGATATGGACCTGTTTGCCTCGGCTCGCCGTCACGTCTTCTGATCAATTTTATTGCCCTTCTCTCTTTATAGACCTCATTTGCTTACTTCCCAATCCTCCTTTCTTTTAATTCTCCTTCGATTTTTGTTTGCCATGTCGAAGACTTTTATTTAGGTTTACGTGATATTAATTTCCTCGCAAGAAGCATATCCCCGCTCAGTCATTTTATTATTGTTTGATCCATTCTGCCCAGATGAATTGTATCTACAACCCGGAGTTATTGTGAATCCCACAACAACGAACAGTAAAGAAATGTCCCATGAGCGTTGTAGTTCATTTGCCCTCAGTAAAATCCTAGAGACCTGCTGGGATCGAGACAACACGCGTCTTTTCTCAAATGGTCCTGAAAGGCACGATTCTTTTGTACTTTTGTACAAAGCCTCTTAGTGATTTATTGATTTTATCGACACCAATGGAAAAAGTCATTAGGAAGATCATGCAAAGAGCGATCGATCCGCAACTGGCAGTTTCTTCTTAATTGAAAATTGTGTAATCCCGTATGGCCAGAGGGACATTGGCTACCATCAGATACACGCCTACATGAAGACAGAAATGAAGATTGAAATATAAAGACTCATTACGAAACGATACATTCAAAACTCAAAACTATGAACTACGCGAACTTCGCGTTTCTCTTGCAGAAGTTCTTATTGTAGTGTAATTGTAGATTCTCTGAGAGTCTTTTGCAATGCTATCCACGGCGAGGCAGAAATATGGAACTACTACTGGCCTACAGTAGTGAAAATGCTGCTTAATAAAATAACACAAAATGGTTTTGCAAAAAGAAGCACGCTCACTACTAGAGAAGAGCAAATAAAATAATCCTACAACACCTATACAACTGCAATAAGTTAAAAATTTTAACAAAACCAGACTTCACGAATACTGCAACGCAAGATAGTATATATGGAAACACGGCACAACAGTTCTTTGCAAACAAGATTATAAAAAAAGCTGCTTACGTAAAAAGCAAATATATACTGGCGGGTGACCTCTTCCTTGGAGCCTTGACGTTGTATAACGTCAGCTGCGTCGTAGGACGAGCCATACTGAGTAAGAGATTGTAGCCAGTACACTATCAATGAGAATCAGCAGAATAACAATGAATATTCGCATTTTCAGTCAAAATCGTAACTATTTCATTGTTTTCGGATTCTTCGATTTTCCGGGCATCTAACGAAATCATAGACCCGTCTCACATGGTCGGAAGGTGCGTAGTTTTCTTTCAATTTCTGCGCGAATGGGAAATTATTATTTAGATTCTTTATATGAACATCTTTTCTCCTTTACACAAAGCACAGAAAAATATCAGAACTAGTTTCGCACTGAATTCAATGGTATCTCTGCAAGGATAGCGCGGGCATGCTTGCGTAGTGCAGAGCGATCTAATTAAAATTTGTAAAAACAGATAAGATGTTTATTAGAGGAATTGAGTTAAGTAGACATTTTCTGCCATATATCTCACCTTTGAAAGTATTAACACACTTTCAAAAGACCATACATATTTAATATTATGATATGTAGTGGAATGAACAATGTGACTTATTCTTATAATTTATATCAGTGCATACAATCTGAAGCACTGTATACATTTTCCAATAATACTAAACGTAAAATTTCATATCTTGTAAAATATATAAATATGTCAAAAAATAATTAAAATGTGCAATAACTATCAAATAACACATCGAAAAGACATGAGGAGAACGTCCTTCCGAGCTCGTTGAGGAAATGTGGGATAATAGAATATACTGGAGGCGGCATGTTCTGGAATGTGCGGTGGGTAGCCTACTAAGTAACACAACAAACCACGTTTGAAGAGCTCTTAGTCAATGCGATACTCTGTTGACGATATGACCACACAAATTCCCGACGTGCGGATTAGCTCTGAGTGCGAGCGCGGCGCCGAGTGGCCGGCAATTAGCCACACGCATGTGTCAAGTGTGCTGTCGCCGGGCGGCGGCGGCGGAGGCGCAGGACTGCGTGTGGGGGGCATGCAGAGAGCGAGGCGGTTTGCGGGACGGCGGTATGATCGGGAATGGTGTGTGTGTGTGTGTGTGTGTGTATGGGGCGGCGGTGTGCACGGGGTGGCGGAGTGCACGGAGGGGTGGTGTGCACGGGGCGGTGGTGTGTACGCAGCGAGTGGTGCACGGGGCGGCGTTGTGCACGGGGCATCGCGTTGTGCACGGAGGCGTGTGCACGGGCGTTGTGTCACGGGGCGCATGTTGCACGGGCGGTAGTGTGCACGGGGCGGCGGAGTGCTCGGAGCGGGATGTGTACGGGGCAGCGGTTGCATGGGGCAGTCGGTGTGCACGGGCGTCGGTGTGCACGGGGCGTCGGTATGCACGGGGCGTCGGTTGCACGGGGCGTCCGGTGTGCACGGGGGCGCGGTGTTGCACGGTGCCGTCGGTGTGCACGGCGTCGGTTGTGCACGGGCGCTCGGTGTGCAACGGGGCGTCGGTGTGCACGGGGCGTCGCGAATGATTGCACGGGGGCGTCGGTGGTGCACGGGGCGGCGGTGTGCACTGGGCTCGGTGTGCGGGATGAGGTGGGGCGAGCGAGGTGCGCGTGGCCGCGGGGGGAGGCGAGAGGCGGCGCGAGGCGGTTGCTTGTCGCAACGGAAGCTCCTCGCGTGCCGCTCGTTGTCGTGTCGTTCGCTGACTCACTGCGTCCGTCCGCCAAAACACACAGTCCGGTCGCCCTGGTGACCGACGAAACAGGCAGCTCTCTAGCCCAATAACGTGTGCCACATTACTGCCTCCCTATCGATTATGCTTGTCCTTGTGTGAAATGTCTAGGTCATTACAACGTACGGGACATCGATATCACCGAGAGCACTTTATCTATGTGTGCTTATCTTCCAATTACATCTTCTGCGCTCTGCAAGCTTAATTCCACTCGTAGCCCACTTCGCTGTGTAATAGACACCTCCACAACGTACACACTGTTGAAGCCCATCATTAGCAGTGTTTTTGCATATAATATCGCCAAAATCTATGAAGGAATTCATAGGTCACAGTTGTCACTAAGATTAATTTCAGCGTTCTAAAACTAAGAATAATGAATTTTTGTTGCACATTCATTTATTCATATCATAGTCTACGTACTCTTCTTTATACCCCAATTATTCATGAATCAACTTTTACTGTTTGGAATCGTTACTCTGTTTTCCAATGGAAATTTCTGATTTTGATGGTACATTTTATAACTCCTTTGAAAGAAGTTTCTTTCCGCTG